TTATGCCCAGCATTAGAAGTTTATGCCACACATCACTCACTCTTCTAACCACCTGAAGATCAAGCCTTTTCTGACACTTTTTGTTCACATGAAAAAAATTAGTATTCTTTTGCTAGGAAATTAATTTAAACCCCCAAACATTATATATTTTTTTAAAGCAGACACCCTAGTGAATAAAATGGTGGGTACTACAATTTTTTATGGCACATAGTACTCACACAGCGATTTTTCAAAAGCAATTTTAAAAATATATATATACTTTTTTTACTTTTAATGCACAAAAACACAATATATTGGCCAATTATTTGGTAAGATATAAAAGATGATGGTATGTCGAGTAAATAGATACCAAACATGACATGCTTTAAAACTGCGCATGCCCCATGCAATGGCGACAAACTGCATACATTTGTAATATCCATAGGCAACGTTTTAAAAGCCTCTAAAAGCTACCATTTTAGATTTACAGAGGAGGTCTAGTGTTCTAGAAGTACTGCCCTTGATCTGACGTTCACGGCGATACCTCACATGTATGGTGCAACCGCTGTTTACATACCGGCACAGGGTCAACGCTTGTGCACACAGGTGTGCGTGCATGGGAGGGGCAAAGTATTTTTTTTTTAAGTTATTTTGATTTTTTAATTATTCTTACACTGTACCTTTCATTTTTTTTTTATCACTTTTAATGCTATCACAGGGAGTGCAAATATCCCCTATAACTTCAATGGGCATTGTCATATATTCTTTTTTGAGAAATCTGGAGTCTATTAGACTCTAGATATCTCCTCAGCCCTTACATTATCTAATCAAAGCAAAATCGGTGTGATCAGATGCTTTCCCAATTTACAAATGGCGCTGTTTATATCCTGCGAAACTGAAGTGATGAAATGCTCGTAGCTTCCGAATTCTTAGACTATAGAGATGATTGGCACCATTCTGGTCTCCAATCAGCTCTATAGTCAGCTAGCAGAAACACACCGGCTGCATTCTCAGGTTCCCCCCGATGGCATGGGACTGTCCGAGAAGGCGTGGGGGAAGGGGGCATTTTTTCCCGCTACTTGTAAAAGCAATCCTGCAGCTAATTAGCCACTAGGATTGCTTTTACATGAAAGCCAATCGCCGGCTGAAAAATACCAGGATGATGCCTGCAGCTGTAGTATAACCAGTCAAAGTCCAGTGATGTACCAGTACGTCGCTGGTCCTTGTTGTGTGTAAATGCTATGTTCTTTTTTTTTTTGTATGCAGCCTGTGGACTAAATGGAAAAAAAGAGAAGAAATCTCTGCCAGAAAAAGTGTGTAGTATGCCCACCATTAGAATATACTGCCCTGCATCCACTTCTAATGGTGGGCACACATTAGGTCACACTTTGCCACATGCGCCAGTTCCAAGATTGTACAAATGTCTAAATAGTTACACGCTTGAATAAAAATTGTCCACGTATAAGTAGTACCCCATATGGAAAAAGGATGACACAAAGTCCCAAACTATCTTGCCACTGCTCCCCATGTAGTCTGGGCATCCGGGGCCTCCCACGTGACTATCTTTTCCCTCCTAAATCCAAAACATATAAGTATAGCCTGTTGCCCTCTCACAGGTCTTCTACATCTTGACCCCATATCTGGCAAGCTTGCTGGGGAGAAATTGTTTGAATGCAAGGCAGCCAGAAAAATTAATCAGGGACTCATCAACGCAGATGTTTTGCTGGGGAGTATAGACATCTGCAAATTTTTGGTTAGGGTGATTTGCGAGGGGCTGAATTTTGTGGAGCCAATCAATTTCCGGGTCACCCCGAGGATGACAGAGTGTATTGTCGTTGAAATGCATAAAACACATTATACTCTCATATCTATGCCTGGCCATGGCAGCTCTCAGGATCAGTGTGTTAGAAACTGACAGGGAGCAGAACTGCATTGTAAACAATGCAGCTGTGCTCTGTTCCACTGTTTGCCTGCAATCGCCGGAACCCTGGTGGGTAATGCCCCGCCGGGACCCGGTGACTGACACCAGCGGCCACGATCGGCGGGCAATATTCCTCCCCCTACTGACACCATTGATAGGCACTTATTCCTCCCCCACTGGACACCAACGATAGGCACTATTCTCCCCCTACTGACTCCAACGATATAGGCACTAAAAATAATTCCTACCCCCAACGGGTAGTAGGGGGGCACACGCCTCGCGCGCGCGCCCCCTACCTGTTTTGCAAAATGACGTTTTAAAACGTGATTTTGCGCAGCAGTGCCACCCTTTGGCCGTTTTTACACAGTGGCTGGACGGCAAGCGGTTAAACATATAATCAAAACTCTGGTCACTTAGATACTGTACAGAGACAAAAACAACCTTACTATAAATGTGTTTTGTGATTCTAGTACACAATAAGTGTTACAAGTGCAAGGTATGTGGTAATATGACAATACAAGCAGCTGCAGTGTGGGGTACTATTCTGTATATTCCGTCCCCTCACACAGGTGTTATATCCAGGGGTGTAACTATGCATGATGGGGCTCTATAGCAAGACTATTTACAGGCCCCTAACTCTTTACTCTCTACCCCCAAGGCATTCCTCCTAGAGATACAGTATCCTATTTGTCTTTGTAGCAATCTGTATAGGTTCCAAACATGTATATACTGTACATTCAGTTTATTGGAATGTTTTTGTGTATCCACACATTGCTCCTCTAACTACAGGAAAAAGGGTTTTGTACTGTTCTATGAAAGTGGAACTGCTATAAACACATTATATACACCTGTACATACCCATCAATTACATTGCAACCACTGATACTACTGTGAATACACCTGTTTTGCTCACCTCCTACTCTCTTCCTGCTCCCTTCATTCTCTTTTTGTTCTTTAAACATTCCGGCAGGGGAGTTGAAAGACCAGACTGTACAATAAATTGTTAGAATATCTGCAGTAAGTAACAGGCATTCCCAATGCTTTGATTCAAAACATTTTTCTTTGTTCTTGTTGACACAGGCTGCAATAAATGCCTGAAGCTACATTTCAAAGGACGTATTATTATAATCCTAGGTTTTAAGTGAATACATTTGCTAGTTCACAGCTTTTTGCAAGGCTATATTATACAAATCATAAGCCACTATTTCTGTAGGATGTTTTGTCTTAATAAGGAATCAAGTGCAGTTAAACTCTTGACAGATATAAAATATTCAGGGGATACCTTACACTCTTTTTTTTCTATTGCCAGGCACAGTGTTCAGATTCTTCTTTGCCAGCAGTACTTGTATGTTAGAGTCCCAGTTTATGTACAGAAGACTTATGCATAATTGACTGGCCGACTCATAAATCACTAGGGCTACCTTGCAGTGCCTGAAATATTAAACAGTCTTCCATTGTTAGGTTAAACTACTAGTGCTGTTGCCTTGCCATAGTTGGATTTTCAGGTGCACAATAAGGTAAACAGACAAGTAGAAACATCTGCAAGATTCACACATCCTTTCATTGATTGGCAAGTCCACAAAGCCAACTCGACTTTAGTCCTAACTCGTTCTGCCCTACATTTGACGTGTGCTGTCAAATGACTCAGCAGGAGCCTAGATTTCTTGGCACCCTATGCATTTTTTAATGTGGCACCCTGCTTTGTTACAATACAAATTAATGTCCTCTTGCCAAAGCAGTGCCATAGTACAAGAGGGAACACACCACATAACCAGCATGATGCATTTTACCAATCATGTCATTTTCAGCTGCTAAGTTATATTACTAATCAATGCTATGGTACTTTGTGATGAAAAGTCTGTAGAATGGTGTCATGTTATTTCCTGGAACCACACTAAGAAATGCCATATTTGCAAGTTGTTATCATACAGAAGAATTGAGGAGTAAAGCTGGCCACATGCAGATGAAATTCTGCTGAATTTTTATCAATTTGTCACCTTCCCTGTTCACCAAAAGTCCATTTGATTGACTTCTGACAAATGGATAAGTTGGAAAACCTTTCTTGATCAGCAGCTGCTGCCACTGCTCAGTGTATTCTGACAGCAGCGGTTGCCACTGTCAGAATAGAATGTCCACTTGGGCGGGGATGGATTTTTCCATCCACCTTGCTTGTATGTATGGAGGGGGCAGGGGGATGTGGCCAGTTAGTGCTGTCTGTGTCTATGTATGCACACAGCCTGGCTCAGGAGCATACCAACATGGATGCCCCTCAGCACACAGCTTGCTTGAAGGGACACTCGGAAGAAGGAGTGGAGAGCACTGATGGGGGACTCCAGAAGAGGAGGTAAGGGACAGATCTGTGTGATACCATTGCACCGAGTCAGTAAATATAACATCTTTTTTATTTTTAAAAATTGACCTCTATAATCGCCTAGATTTATAAATAAAGAATAACAGAAGAGCTAAATGTTTACCATTATGGAGAAAATGCTGAATCAGGCACCCTTTAGTACTTGGCACTTGTCTAAAGGGTTATGCTTTAGGTCACACAGTCTCTGCTGAATGGATCAGCCAATCTGAACTCCGATCCTCCCCGCCAGCAGAAACCTTGTAATCTCGGCTTTCAGCCTGAACATGTAGCAGCAGGAAATCTCCAGCAAAAGTAACTACTTCAGCAAATCTCTAACTATTTATTCATTCCAGGAAGACTACTGTTATGTTAACATTTGACTATAGGCCTACTTTAATTAGTCTCTAATGTACAGTAACTGTAGAATGATTTTACTAGTTCTTTAGGAAAGGCCAAAATATTTGGGTTGTTTTTGGAAAAACAGGGGTGATTAAAAACTACAGCACTGACTGGAAGGTTAAAAAATTTCCGTGTGGAACTAATAATAATAATGCTCTGATTCTGTTTTCAAGCGCAATTGCCTTTTGAACTACAGATCTAGCTAATCAATTAATATTTAATATTTTTGCATTTTAAGTAAACTATGTGTAATGAACATCTGTATCAAACTCAATACTCATGCGCGTATATTGTGATTTCACAAAAACATTTTTTTTTTAATATTTTCTTTATTTTCTTTTTTATTTAAAGCTGTATGCAGGTTTCCCTGCCAGAATGGTGGTGTATGTGAAAGACCAAACGCATGTTCATGTCCTGAAGGCTGGATGGGACGGCTCTGTGAAGAACGTATGTATTATCATCTAATTTATTATAGTTGGCTAAGCCTTATTTGTTATAACAATTTGAGGGAGGGGGGCTCTATACGTCTCTTCATTACAGTTGACTAAACCTTATATGTTATAACAAGTGAGCGGGGGGGGGGGGGTCGCTATACATCTGTTCATTATAGTTGGCTAACCTAAAATCTGTTATAAACTATGGTTCTTTATACAAAGTGTACGTGAGGCCTCTATACCTCTCTTTGTTATAGTAGGCTAAGCCATATCTGATATAACCGGAGTGTGGGGGGGTGCTGGATACAAAGTATGTGTTGGGCCTCTATACATCTCTTCATTATAGTTGGCTAAGCCATATCTGTTCTAAAAGGGGGGAGGTGGGCTCTATATAATGTGGGGTCTCTATATGTCTCTTCGCTAAGTCATATCTGTTATAAAGTGCGGGACTCTATAGAAATTGTGTGTTAGACCTCTATTTGTCTCTTCATTATTGTTGGCTAAGCTGTGTCTGCTATAAAGTGTGGGTCTCTATATGTCCCTTCATTATAGTTGGCTAAGCCAAGTCTGTTATAAATTGTGGGACCTCTATATGACCCTTCATTATAGTTGGCTAAGCCAAGTCTGTTATAAAGTATGGGACCTCTATATGTCTCATCATTATAGTTGGCAAAGCCGTGTCTTTTATAAAGGAGGGGAGGGGTGGCTCTGTACAATGTTTATTTAAGGCCTCTATATGTCTCCATTATAGTTGGTTAAGCCATATCTGTTATAAAGTGTGGGGCTCTATAGAAATTGTGTGTTAGACCTCTATATGTCTCCTCATTATAGTTGGCTAAGCCAAGTCTGTTTTAAAGTGTGGGACCTCTATGTTTCTTCATTTAGTTGGCTAAGCCGTGTCTTTTATAAGGGGTGGGGGGGGGGGGGGGGGCTCTATACAATGTTTATTTGAGGCCTCTATATGTCTCTTCATTATAGTTGGTTAAGCCATATCTGTTATAAAGTGTGGGGCTCTATAGAAATTTTGTGTTAGATCTCTATATGTCTCTTCATTATTGTTGGCTAAGCCATGTTTGCTACAAAGTGTGGGGCCTCTATATGTCCCTTCATTATAGTTGGCTAAGCCAAGTCTGTTACAAAGTGTGGGGCCTCTATATGAATCTTCATTATAGTTGGTTACGTTGTGTCTATTATAAGGGGGGGGGGCTCTATACAATGTGTGTGTGAGGCCTTTTTATGTGTCTTCATTATAGTTGGCTAATCCATGTCTATTATAAAGTGTGGGGCCTCTATATGTCTCTTCATAATAGTTGGCTAAGCCATGTCTGTTATAAAATGTGGGGCCTGTATATGTCTCTTCATAATAGTTGGCTAAGCCATGTCTGTTATAAGGTGTGGGACCTGTATATGTCTCTTCATTATAGTTGACTAAGCCATATCTTTTATAACAAGTGGGGGAGCTCTATACAAAGTGTGTGTGGGTCGGGCCTCTATATGTCATGGCAAGATGTGTTCTTATGTTTCATCTGTAGGACACCCTGTGATTGGTGTTATATCTGACTAGCTGAGACAACATAAACCACTGTAGGACAAGGGTGCCACTGCTGCATGCAAGATGATTGTAGGAGTAATATCACTACATTACTATGGATCACAAATGGATATCTGGATCAAAAATGTATTTTTACTGGAAAATGGAAAACCTATTTAAAGCATATCTAAACCCAAAAACAAAATGTAATATATTGCATCTTACCAGCCCTTAGATGTGATGGCAGCATTTGGTTTATGCTTTTTATGTTTTTATGTTCTTTTTTTTTACCCTGGTAAATCTGCCAGTAATACCCTTCAGTCCTAGAATGATAACACTAATTCACCAGATTTTATCAAGAACGTAGAAACAAGATAGTAATATGGTACCCTGCCCCTCTCCTATTCTACAGAACATTTTAAATATTTTTTAGAAGGTTTTTCTGTTAGTGTTTAAGGCCTTGGGGGGGGGGGGGGGTTTGTAACAAGTAGTGGGTTTTTTTGCATTAAGGTAAAGATCGTTTTGAGTTTAGAACTCCTTTACATTTTTGTTTTTTGACATGGGGGGGGGGGGGGGGGGTGGTGTGTTTAAAGACAATTTACAAAACTGCATATGCATTTTCTAAAGTATAAATAATCATTCAAATACATAAAAGGTACTGATAACAAATGAGAAGTACAACAGGAGCAAAAGGTAAAACTTCAATAGTATTGCAGCATTCCAAGGCAATCTTTTCAAATTCTAGATTTTTCCCCAATTTAATTCCTTCCACGGGTACAAACAATCTAAAATGAAATTATATCAATAGTATAAATCCTCTACTTCAAAAACGAGAGAGAAAAAGAAAGCTAAATTTGGTGAAGATATTTATGAGATGTTAGAACTATTAATAAAAAGCAGATCCACTTTTAAAGACAATGCAATACTGTTATGTTCAAGAATGCTTTTTTATTCTTCTCTAGGAGAGACAATGCGGTGAGAACAAGTGAAAATAAGTTTGCCAAAAGTAATTCCATTCATTAAAATGATCACGAGTTTAAACTTGCACTGACTTTCTTTCTTTCTTTTAATTTTTGTGTAAGTTAAATCAGTGCTGGATTACAGGGAGATCTACACACACAAATCACAGCTATATTGTCAATAACGAATGACTTTGTATTGTGGAAAGATATGTTGAAGGACAGAGCAGCAATGTATTTTTCAGCTATAAACTGCTCAGTTGCATCATTTCTTAGCAATGATTTAAGCATGAAATGACATATTGCAAAGGTTGCAGTAAACTATTTTAGAAGTGATACTTCATGAGATGGGAGCTACAAACGATTTGGAAACAGGCAAATCAATGACTACAGTACAAATTCCAGATTTATTGCAAGTAAAGGCTTAAAACTCAACATTACTGGAATTTACTGAAGCAAGCATCTCTCTTTATGAATGTTTGTGTTTATTTTTTCCATTAACCGAATGTAAAATGTATAAATGAAATTATGTGTTTATACTTTGTATATTAGCAGCTATCTAGTACTCCTCTAAAAATAATGTTTCTTATATATTCAGGCAGTGAATATAAAGGAAATGATACAAAAGTGTACTATCTCTTGGCTTACCAATATAGGGAGATCATTGGTAATCACATAGTGGAATCTGGATTGGTGTTGATAGAAAAGAATTGTTATGGTAGCTCCAACCTGTGGTAGCAAGGCTAATCCAGCGGGGAAGAGGTGGGAAGAAGCATTCTGTGTCAGTTCCTTTTAGGGTGTATTTTGACAAAAGAAGAGCAGTTATGAAGAAAAGTGATAAGCTTTTTCCTCTTAGAAAATTCTCATTGAGTAGTTTTCAGGTATTTAACCAATTACAGTTCTCCACATTTATCTTAAGTTCAGATGCTGGCTCAATACTTATACCCAGGACTAGAAATCATAATGTGTCTCAGGTTCCACTCATAGTAAAGCAGAATTCCATGTATGTATTTTGAGGCACAGTTACATAGGTACGGCTTGGACCAGTGCAGGTATGCATACATCACACCTGTGGGGCCGCTGTTGATACTGCAGTAATTGCTGCTGTCTTCATGGCCCCAAAAGAGTTGCCCTGTAACCACAGGGGGTCACTCACTGCCATTTAATGCAAAGCATTCTCTGATTGGGCAACATGGAGATTGTTACATCACCATTCCATCTCTCCCTCTTGGCCAATAAACAGAATGTCTTCCATTCATCATGCAAAATGCAATGGCAACTGTGCCAAGCGAGGGACCCCCTGTAGTTATTACGTAGCATGCCAGCATTCTGCATGGAGCCTAGAAGACAGCTGTATTCACTATAGTACCAGTGACTATTACAATGAATTTCTGCTTCTGCAGCAGTCCCACAGGTATGGCCAAGCAATGTAACTATGCAACAAAATTCATACATGAAGCTCAGCTTTAACCACAAGTCTCTGAAATTCAAAGACTAGTATGTCTTAAACCAAAGAAAATAAAAATGATCTGTTAGTTCAATAAGTCATTTTAATCTAGACAGTTCTACCTAGGGATCCAATAAAAATGTGAAGTTCAGCAATGAGCTATAATTACCTTCATAATTATTAATGATTTTGATAACTTTCCCTGTAAGAGTTTTTTACTTGATATATTCTCTAGACGCTATCATTCAATAAAAGTATCAATTAAGTGAAAAAGTTTGTAAAATTTGCTAAGGTATAGCAAAATATGCTAATTGATACAGATGTAATTTAGGAAGAAAACACATTTTGAACCTTGAAGTTAAAGTGGTTGTAAAGGCTGAAGGTTTTTTACCTTTGTGTATTCTATTTATGAAGGTAAGAAATCTTCTGTGTCCTGCTCCCCCCACCTCGCAGTTTCTCCCCACCCCCACCCCCACCCTCAACACTTAATACTTATCTGAGCCCCCTCTCATTCCAGCGATTTGCATGGGAGCCTCTGCTGTCCAGGTCTCTCTCTAATCATTAGCTAAGGCAATCACAGCCAGTGAGGAGAGCAGGGGGCGTAGCCGAGCCGTGGCTCTATGTGTTTTATGGATTCCTAAAGCTGGGCTCGGGAAAAAGCATGCACCAGTGCCCCATAACAAGTAGCTTGCTTTTGGGGGCACTGGACAGAGGGGATGAGCCAAGAGTGCCACCGGGTACCCGAGAAGAGGAGGATTGTGGCTGCTTTGGGAAAAACCACTGCAGATAGCAGGTAAGTATGACATGTTTGTTATGTAAAAAACCTTTTAATATCACTTTCAAAGTGTTTTTATAGTGTTTTTCAGCAATTTAGACAGCACAACACTTTACAAGTTGTTATGGAATCTGTTGGATTCCTGAATTCTTAAAATAATATAGCCATTCACATCATGCAATAGGCACCTATTCAAAAATGATATATGACGTCAAATTAGGAACTTTGTTCCTCTTCATTCTCTCATACTGAAGAAGTAAAAAATGTTAAAGCCTAACTCCAGTGTTACACCACACAATGGTATGTGAGTGACGCTCAGTGCAGTAGTCTTCTGAACCCAGGCCAGTGTGATGATGTGAAATATGCTCGCCATTTTCAATCTGAAAGACTGATGGAATCTAAATTAAATAAAGAGAGATAATAATGTATATTCTGCACACAAATCATAAATATTATACCAGTTGTGAACAAGAGAGTTTGATAAGGACTGATTGTATCTGAACTACTTGTGGTGTGGCACTTCCCTCACAGAACATCTAAAAGCTGACTGGAGTTCTACCCTTCTCCAATTTTACTAAAAAATACATTTTATGTGTTGCTCTTGAAGATTTTCTCTTACTTCTTCTCTGGTTAAACCATTGTCATAATGATATAAAGTGAAGGGCAAGTGGAGCCCCACATGCCAGGAAACCAACACTGGTTCCAATCTTTTCCTACTCTATCCAGATTTATTAATTCTTATTTGGCTTGATGTCTTACAGATTGATATGAGCATTTTATTCCTAAAACCATAATGTGGAAAAGCATGCTGCAAGCTTTGGTGTTGAGAATGTCATGCATTTAAGTTTGTGCCCAAGAAAGCTTGGTCCACCTAGCTTCGGTGTTAAATTCTTTATAGACATGTTTTAGAGAATGACTTATCAGCAAATTATTTTCACTCTTGTTTGGGTGCCTCCTATACCAAAATAGGAGCAACATGATCTGCATTATCAAAATGTGTTCTCAATGGATGCTGTATATTATTCCAAAGGGATAATGGGGTGAAAGACTTTCCATTATGATGAAAAGCACCATGACTGGCATATGAATGGAAGTTGTTAGACTGTGTTTCTTGGCTTCTATAAATGAAATGGAATGGTCAACAAATGATTTAGAATCACTTTAAGACATACCATTGTTCATGAAAATACAAAGGACTAATAGATGTTACTTTTTAAAAAGCAATTTCACTTATATTCAAGAATAGAATTACGGCTTCCTCAGAGGAACTCTAGTAACAGCATCGCTTTCACTAGGTTCCTGGTACCCAAACACAAATATTATTGTAACAGGAAAAAACTGCTTTCACGTGTATAATTGAAAATTTACAGTTTTACTTATGGTGTACAAAATACTGAGATTTTAACGTTCCAAGCAGATTAAAGCAAATTTATAAAAAGTTGCATCTGTTTACAACCATAGTAATCTGTATGCATATTACTCTACATATATATTTTGCATTAGCTTTTAAATATGATTTTTATATTATTCTTGAATTTATTTGTTGGTGATTTTCTATAGATGACTTAACTATTAAAGCAGGCAATAAAAATATTATTATAGCATGTATGGTTAGGATAAATGAATACAATATTAACAGGGCCTGCTTTTTTGTGTAGCGATTTGTATCCTGCCATGTTCTAAATGGTGGTCGTTGTACAGCTCCATACAAATGTGAATGTCTGAATGGATGGACTGGATCTCGCTGTCACCTTGGTGAGTACCTTTGTTTACAGTTCTGCTTAGAAATGTATTGTTTAAATGTTCAACTTGAGCATCACTCTCTGAACTTGATAGACTCAAAAACGTGAATACTCATGTTTAAAACAATGGAGGGAAACAGTAAACACTTACCATACCTAGCATTAACCAGTTGTGAACACACGCCCAAAAACCATTATTGAAGTATACAGGGGTATAGATAAGGGGGGTGTCAGGGGGGTCTGAAACCCCCCCCCCACCACCCCAGAGGACACAGTTGCCAACCATCCTGCAGTCCTCTAAATTTCCACTCTCGCTGCAAGTGGAAAATAAGGTGGTGGCGTGTAGTGGCGGGACTAGAGGTGTGTGTGGAGGGGCGGCACTGGGGGCGGTAACAAGCAGCAATCTCCAGTATAGCTTTCAATGAAGCCAGAGGAGGGAGAGGAGGAGATTCGGCTTCAGCTGCTTCATTTAAAGCCATAAAGGAGATCGCTGTTTGTGGACCGCCTCCACCGCTCAACAAAACATACCTGAACGTTCCTTTTGTCTTTCTGCCCCCCTGCTGTGTTTTTTACTCAGTGAACAGCCACTCCCTTCATCCTCTGCACCAATAGGAGAAGAGGGGAGAGAGGCTGGAGATCTGCTCTACCTCCCCCTGGTTGCCTGCCACCCACACACTAGTCCTTGGCAGCTTCAGAGGAGGTGTGGACGGAAATTGAACAGTAAGCAGCCTACCCCCCCCCCCTCCCCCCACCCCCCCCCCCCCCCCCCTCCCCCCTCCCCCCCCACCCCTCCCCACCCCCCTTCCCTCC